GTATATTAAACTGTTTCACCTTCCTTCTCCCTCCAATGATCTCACTCTGGTTCATTCTCCCAGACTAATCTTCACACAACACATGCCCATGCCATGCCATGCCCTGGGCAAAAGTGTTGGTACTCTTCATAGCCTATGGAGATAATGTCTACACTCTTGTATGGCATCAGTACCTTCAACCTCCCCATCCCAATCTTTCTTCCTTCTCCTCCTCAGAGTTCTCTTCCTAGCTAATTGTGTTTTTGTGGGTTCAAATCATTACTGTTTACATCTTCTGTGTTCCTGTGGTTGTTTTTGTACCATCTATGTAAAGTGAAAAGATACTGTTCATTTTTGATTGGAAGCATAATTTTGGAGCTGACTTTCTCAAATCTGATTTTAGAAAAAAAAGAAAAGCCTGGGGGGTGGGGAACACTGTAAGAGCATCATGGGAAAGGAACATGCCAGCAGAATGGGAGTTAACACACTCACAGTTATAGCTCTTGAGAGCTTTATTTATGTGTATTATTTTAAATGAATGACTCCTTAAAAAGAAATAAAATTTCTTTTTCAGAGTAGCTAAGAAAAGACTATGCAGTCTCCATTACAGCAAAGTGGAAAACTCTAATAAGTAGTTATTGTTTTCTCATAAAAACTTATAATACCAATGACTTAAAAACTTACAAGTCTATACAACAGGCTAATTTTTTTTTACTGTGCATTCAATAAGAAGCACAACTGGAAATGCATCTGTTTTCTAGAAGTAAAAGTCTTGTCTGGAACAAGACTCCTTGTGATCTAGAATGCTAACATCTTTAACACAGGAATATTTCAGTCTCTACAATGCTCATAATCCCTATGTGTATTTTGATGTTAAATAATAATGATAGTTGCAGTAAGGATCATTTTAGGAAGTTAAAATGTTTTGGTAATTGTTACAAAGGGGGTAGGTTGGATTTCCCAGAAGTAGTTCCCACAATGAAGATTCATGATTAAATGATTTACTGAAGAGGTACTCTCAAAAGGAACTGGAAAAGAAAGCTAGGAAACAGGGCAGGGGAAGGGAGGAAGACACACAAGGTGCAAACTGTGGGAAAGTTTTTGGGGAATAACTTTGACCTCATCCCTTAGTATCTCTGAAATGTTAAGTTGTCTCCCACTGCCAGGGAACTGGGCTTTCCAGAAGCTCCTGGACCTATCAGCTATCATCTAGGCAGGAGCTTCTGATGGTAGCTTCTGGCTTCTTGTGGCTGCTGGCAAAGTACATGTAGTATCCCAAGGGCAGACACTGAGAAGAGTTGCACAGATGTGAACAGTTGGAGACAAAAACAGCTTCCAGGATAGAGAGGGATGTTGGAGAAGAGGGCTGAAGGGGTCTTGGCAAAGCACTGACAGCATCCCCTGGAGAGTACTTCTGACATCCTAGAACCCAAAACTTCTTATGCTAATAAATGATCTGGTAAGTCAATAATTCTTAAAAGCAGTGTGTGACCACGAGCATATCACTTAACTTCTCTTTGTCTCAGCTTCTTTATCAAATGCATAGAAACACCTAATTCAGGGTTCTTATGGGTACCACATAAAATAATAGAGTATTTCAATCACTGCACCTTGTAATAAATTAATAATTATTCATTTTAGTTGTTTTTAAAGTCTTTCACACTCAGTATTGCAATTTTTAAATTGGACAGTGGGATAATAAATCTATGCTAGATTCAAATTTTATATGTAAGATAAAAATGATAGTGAGGTGGTAGAAATAAACATTTTAGTAAGCTAACAGTGATTGGTAAACTATATAAGAAAAGGAAGAAAAATAGGAGCTTGGTCATGTGTAGTGGAAACAAAACTGTAATTCATTTTGACTTAGTTATATATTAAAGCGGAGGGCTAGAGAAGTGGCTCAAGTGGTTGACACAGCACTTACCTAGCAAGTGTGACACCCTGAGTTCCAAACCAAGTACTGCCAAAAAAAAAAAAAGAAAGAAAAAGAATAGAGCCAGATGCTTGAATACCATTTGAATTTTAAACTCTAAACTCACTTGAAAGTCAAGAAGACCCAGATCCTTTGATCCTTTGTAGGAGTAATTATGGAAAAAAAAAATCAACAGAATTTGCTATAAGGAAAGAAGTAGTAACAGAAAATGCAGTGTAGTTAAACTCCCTAAAAAAATAAGAGGCATTATAGAAACACTTTTATTAGCACTAACATAATATTAAGTTGAGCCAGATAAAAATCACCAATATTTTTTTTTGGACCAATGAAAACAGCAGCCTTGCATAATTCAATCTGATATATAAAGCATATTGGGAGACAGTGATATAGGAGCCTCTTTTCCTCCTACACATCTGGCTGTCTGTGCCGAGAATGCAAGGCCTTGACCATTTCTTACTTGGACCATTTCTCAGAATTTTGTTTGCAGCAACCCAACAACCACTAATGATCAGGAAATGTCTCCTTTTGGGGTGAAAATCAGGCTAGCTTACTGCTTGCTACAGAAGCTGTAGATTCCCCAGCTCAGGGTTTCTCTCCTGTAACACATCTCTCTCATGTGCACATGGCATCTAGACTTTTTGTATTATTCTCTTGGACTTGGGGCAAAGGGAATGTGCCATTTGAGGAATAAAGTGCCTTGGCTGTCTTACCCAGGAGGTTCATGCCTTCTAGAAACATCTGTGAAACAGAAACAAGCTTTAAAGTGGGGTAAAAATCAAATTCCAGACCAGTAAATGCACAATACAAGATACTCTTAAGATTGCATTAGTTGCAAGAGTTGTAAGGATTTCCCAAATGATTACTTTTTTAGCCTAGGAAGCTGAAAATGTCCTTAAAAATGATCAGTGCGGTCATTCACCAGCTTTCTATCCTTGTTCTTAGGATCCTTTCACATGAAGTAAAAGACTTCCTAGGTCGCGTCCCCCAGGACCCCATGCCCTCAGAAAGTATAAAGGCCTTGAAGGAAACCCCTCAAGGAAGCAATGATTGTGTCCTGACATGCAGGAGGTTTTAGGCAAACTGATGGGTTATGTTTCTATCTGTTCCTTTGCAATTTTATTTGCCCATGGGCTCTGGCCTTAGATATTAAATAAACTTTGCGTATGGGGGCTCCTATAGCACTCAGAGTGTTCCTACAGCACTTTATTTATTTTTTTTTAAAGCCTTGGAAGTTAAAACACAGGCTAGATTAAAACTGATGACAGGAGACTCTAGGCACAGCTCCCCTGCTCACATCTTGAATGTGGCATTGAGTGGTCACACTAGTATTCTTTTCTAGGATGACCACTGATGAAACCTAACCATTTTCCCTGACAATGCCACAATTGTGGAGCTGGCATTTTTATGTAAATAGCTGCTCTCTGATTCATTAAACCCTGTTGCCCCTGACATTTTCCTTTCTGACCATTATCAGCCACACACTAGCAAAACATGAAGAAGTAAAGAGGACAAAGAAAGGCAATAAAACGGTTACAACCAAGAATGTATGGTAGTTGTGACCAACAAGGAAATTTGGAAATGGGCGACTGAACCCCAGGGATGCCCTGTCAACCAGTCACAGCTACATTTGCTCAAAGCTTGTCAAGTGCTTAGCACCATTTCAAGGTGTCACACAGAGATACATAGGAAATGACAGTCCTGGATGTCACCTGAAGAGCACTTAAAATCTCGTAGGTGGGATAGCACAATTAAATGTCTATATATCCATAAATATATAATCTGGCCCTTGCTTATCGTTCCTCTTACTCTTTCTTTCTTTCATAGCATGTGTCATAACCCGCAATATGGAGTTTATTTATTTGTGTTCCCCTGAGCTGGGATTTCCCCGGAATGAGACAGTGCGTCCATTCCAATTACTTATGGTTGCTGTTCTGGATCTCTCCCACTGGAATATAAATTCCAAATAAACAGGGATCATGTCTACCTTATTCACCATTGTAACTTCTTAGCCATGCAAAATGTACCTAGTAGATTCTAAAAAAAGACATACAAATAAGCAGAATAATTTTAAAAATACATAAAACCAGCAATTGCTATATGGAGAGAATCAATAACTTATCTTCTGAATACTGCTCCTAACCCATTAATACAAAATTAAGGGACAACATCCATCAAAGGCAGAGACATAAGCACATTTTTCAAAGAATTTAGATGAGAAAAAACAAAACAAGACAACAATAACCCTGTCCAGGAAACCTATTTTACTTCAGTTCCCTTGGTAAATATTGAGAGTATAAACAAGAAATAAACCCAGAGAACTAGAAAGATCTTATCAGTCTCTCATCATGTGACTTTTAATTAGATTTCAAGCACAGTGGGGCTCCGCTGGTGCCGACAGACTTCTCAAGGTTGAGAACTGGGTAGCACAGTGATGATATAGTTGAGCATGCTGTAGCTGACACAGGCTAAAACTATAAAGCTAAGCTGGTGAAGCTCACGATGTGACATTTAACACCAGATAGACAGATTTAATTGATGATTCCACTTTGTCATTTCTCACACTGTCCTTTACCCCATTCCTTGACTCTGAGCTCAGCCATGTGACTTCCTTCTGCCAATGGGATGTCAGTGCACCTGCACACTGGGACTTGCTCTCTGCTTTCTCTTTCTCCTCCTTCATGCCTGGCCTCACTTTCTGGAGAAGATACATGAGCACAGCCATGGCTCCTCATCCCAACTGAGGCTACCCTAAACTATTTAAGAGACTGAACGTGACCACTGACCACGGATATGTATTTGAGCAATCAACATCAGCAGGAGTTCCTCGCTTACCTAGAGATTTGTGCACCACTGAGTTTTAGAGGAGTTTAATTTGTAGCTTTATTGTTGTAATAACTAAGTCCTATTCCACTGTTATAGAGTAATAAAAATTAATTACTGAATAGCAAATGTTTAAAATGCAAGCATGATTCTTCTTTATTGGAACAGAGTACTTTAAGTCCTATGTTTTGGTTTCTCTACACACACACCTTCCTTCCAACCATATCCATGTCACTCGGGTTGAGCAGACCTGGGGAAGATGCACTTAGAGGGGAGAAGTGAAGAACCACAGCAGGCTCAGCACCATACTGGTGGCTGTCACCTTCCCAGCACTGTTGGAGGGCCAATACTTTGCATACACATCGTCCAGGATGGAAAGAATGGCCTCCATGGTCTCCTCACAGGTAGGCTGGATCTGAGCTTCAGGCAGGACAAACCCATAGGTACCATTGTCCCTCAGCTCAAACGTGTATGAGAAGGGGATCCCAATGTCTCGAGCCCAGTCTCTTGAAGAACCTGATGTGGCATCTATAAAGGAAACATGAAGGCAAAAATAGAAACCATTCTTTGAAAAGACTGATTTCCATAGCCAGCTCAGGGAATAAAGGCTCTGTGAGTAAGATAAAGAAACTACTTTAGATTAGTGTCTCATGGGTAGCCGTCTTCTCTCCATAGGCAACCCCTGCAAGAGTTGTATCTTATTTTATCCCTTCTCCTTCATAGTACCTGGCACTATACCTGACCCACAGCAGAGATTTGATTAACATTTCTTAGCTAATCTAAGACTAGGCAACCCCCCCCTCCCGTTCCCAACCCCGCAATTGCAAGGCAAATGTGAACTGAGTAACTCATACAGAGAAATAAAAACAAAATGACCTACAGGAAAATTATTATGCAACTGTTATCTAGGTGGGCCCCTGGAGGTTGGAGTTGGGAGTGACTTGGCTGGGAGAAACACTGCACTCTTCTTTCACCTAAATTCTTCTTCTTCTTTTTTTTAAGATTCTTTCTCCAGGCCCCTACTGTGTTCTGCTTTTCTGGCCTGATGGGTTCTCTGGGAATTGAATCAACCAAGGGTTGGTGGACAATGTCCTTCCTGTTAACTCCTAAGACAACTTGCCAGCTCTTTTTAACTGAAGCCAGGGGAAATTCTGATCTGAGCCAGTATATTAATTTTTTTCTTTTAGCTCACACCTTATCCCCAGAGAGTATAATTCTGGACTTGTACAGACTCCCTTTTATCCTTGGTTATTTTGATTTGTACAACTCACAGTTGATCCCAGGATCTCTTCTGCTCTTCTCCTGCCCACCTCACCACACAAACTCCATTGACTTCTTTTGTACCTTAGATACTATTGAAGAGGCAAAAATAGGAAAGATACTTACATAAAATATCTGCACTCGATCCAACACTATAATTGGTTCCATGCTTTGCTTTTAATGCATATGCTGCCTTCTGTCCAACTTGAATCTGTAGGTGGGAAATGCAGAGACAGATATCTGGTGTTAAAAATAAATCCGACAATCCAAGCATGTGGTATTTTGTCCAGATCTATCTCTAGAGTTTTAGACTATTCCAACCTCCCATTGGACATTTACATCTAGATAGACTGTTGGTACCTCAGATTAAACATACCCACATTTATTTCTGACTTTCCTATTTCTGGCCTTGCATGCTTCCCCAACACACATGTAAAATCCTACAGGCATCTTTGACTGTCCTTTTCTCAAACAGTTTCCAATTTGTATTTCCAGTGCCATCTTCCAACATCAGGTTTATTACATTGGAACTGGTCTGTTGCATCTTTGTCATCAGTCCTTTTCCCAATTGACCCCACCTGACTTCTAGATATGTAGATCTATGATCATGAGCCTGCTGAAAAGCTTTCAATAACTCCTGGTTGTTTATGGAATTAAATATGAGTGTCTTAGCTTAGATTTTGAATTTTTTTATAATATGACCCTGAGATGCCTTGCCAATATCATATTCTGCACATCCATCCTACATTATAGTCAAATTCATGTTTCCACACTGTTGCTTAGATATGCCCCATGTTCCTCAGCCTCCCTGTCTTTTCTCAGGGTTTTCCCTCTTCTTGGGATCCCTACCTCTAATCTCTGCCTGCTGGGATTCTACCCAACCTCAAAGGATTTTCTCAAATGCCAACTTCTCCATGAGGCCTTACCTGATCATACCAAAGTAAGGAGATCTTATTTCTTCCCGCTTTGAATTACTCATGGTCACTGGTTCATACCTCTCTTATGATTCTCCTCTCATTTCCTTATATAGACATTTGATATATATCTCTCACAGATTTATGGGTTTCAGAGTTGGAAGGCACATCTCTCCTCACATCCTATGCCACCTTATTACTCCATTGGAAATCCTTAGAACTAGATGATTTCTAAGTTCTCAGCATTGCTCTCTTCAGGCTCTTTCCTGAGACCAGAGTCACTAACTAGTTCCAAGTTTGTGAGCTTACGTGCTTATTGACCTTCTGATGAGTGTTCTTGCATAGGTTTGTCAACAGTCCCTTTAAGTGTTCCGCACCACAGGCCTCCCAATATTATAGTCTACCCACCAGATGGTGTATCCCACTCCTTCCCTTTAGATTCTACACAAACACTTCCAAAAACCCTTGTCACTCTTGCCCACACTGTCACCCACTATTGCTTTGGCTGCAAGACAACCTATCTGTACTTGGACATACATCAGCTCCACGGACTCTCAACTAATGATGGGTCTCTCCTTTCCTTCTTTGCACTGCCAAGGTAAATGCTAAGATGTGATAAAGTAGTACTTGGGTAGAGTGGAGACAGAGAAATCCAAAAGGAAGAATAAAAAAGTCAGTAAGTGGTGGTGATGGAAGTTGTATGCAGCAGTTGTGGCAGCATCCCTAAGGCACGTGGGACTTTTCGCGTGTGGCTGAGCTAAAAGACACAACATTCAACTGAACATATTTATAAGCTTTTTGCTTCTTTCCACTCATTACTGAGAATTTTATCTTTGGCCATTCACCTGCTTTCTCTTTTCCTGCAAAAAGATTCTGAGTTTGTCCCACTTCCTAGGTTTGTTTTGCCTAGAACTGAGATGATGGACAGAAAAGGCTGAACGAATACAAGGTATGAAGCTAATTTGACCATTTACACTGGCAAGATGACAAGAGCTATTTGTAGAAAGAAGAGAGCATTATAAGAGGAAAGGGAGAGTTAGAAAGCGAATTTGTAAAAAAAGGAATTCTAGTAAGGAAATGAGAGCGAGGGAGAGGAAGGATTCAGGGAGTTGATATGTGTGATAAAGTTAAGAGCAAGAGGCCTGGGAAAAATAAGTGCCCTGTGATTTACCAACTCTCTTTTGAAGTTCTCTGAGAATTGTCTAATAGAGATATAAATTGCTTTTAATCATTTTAAATTCATGTCTTCCTGTATTTCTTTGAGTGAAACTTCATGGTAAGTGGTCCCTGGAGAGCCTTTACTTTTTATCTGGGACACATGGATCAGTCCCAGGCTACATTTTCCATCCAAATGATTCCTTACATTTTTTTTCATTTTTGTAGCTCATCCCAGACAACTATTGCTTCTTTCCATTGCCAGCCTTGGTTTTATTCTTTTTGTTTCTCAAATCCTGGCTATTTGGGTAACAAACAGTCTTCCAAGTTTTCCCTTTGTTATTGACAAAAGAATTTTTAACTTTATGTTTTTAAGGATTTTCCATTAGTAATTATTAAAAGGAAGTAGATAAAAGTAAGAAGTATATACAAGAAGTGAAAGTTATGCTCCTCAGCTAATACAGTTGGTCCTTTCTAAGATGAATTGGAAATCCCCTAGACTTCTAGCTTCTACTTCTATCTCTTTGGTGGCACTCTTGAGTATATTTCTCTTTCCTCTCACAATATCTTTGTGGTCCTTCTCAGCTTATACATACTTTCTAGTAAAAATGCTGAAACTCCTTTGTCAGTTGAACATTATATATATATTGCTAAGACCGCTAGCCTACTTAACACCTCATTTACTGAGCCATAAGGATACACTCACGGGAAAGTTTGCAAACCCTGTGATTAAGTCTGTGTCTCAGGATGGGAAATAGAGGTTGATATGAAAAGAGTTCAAATTGAAATACTATAAGCATGTAAAATGTAAGAATTCCTATAGCCATTCTAATTTCTAGAGTGGTTTAGAAAGGTCTATATATGGTCATGGTTCCTCTACATGGTAATTGAGAAGTTGTCTATCATGCAGTATATTTACCATGTTTTCTAAAATCTTTTGATTTTGTAAATATAGAGAGATTAATTACTAGTTTCTGATGATTGTAAATAGTGCTGGAAGTGGAAATCTCCTTGGAGCAGTCAGTTTGATTCTCTGCCTTTGTGCACTGTCTCAAAGCTTATCCATAAGAACCTGAAAGCACTGATAAGTGGCCTCAATAAGGTTGACACATGGTGGCAAAATTTTCTCAGTTTTTTAATGAAAAAGTATAGGGATGCATGTTTGTGTTAACTCTTCAGCACCTAAGACTGTTAGAGATACAGAAAAATTTATCAGTTCTTATGTATAATACCAAAAACTTGCAAGTATTTTCATCTTTCAGTTACCTTCAAGTAGTCTTTGTGCTATTGCTCTAAATTCCTCTTGCCTTCTTTTCCTGAACCAAAAAAAAAAAAGAATGACGTTCCCAAGAAAAATACAGGGATATACAAGTGCTGGTGGAAGACCCCTTCTATCAAGATCTTTCTGTTGGTGGAAGACCCTTTCCCATTAAAGATCTTTTATGTCTTAGGAAGTTGATTTTGCTTTGTCACAGTTCCCTTGAAGGATAAAGTAGGAATTTACAACTAATATCACAGAAATTGGGGATAAGGAGGGTTCTAGGCTTTTAAAAAGAAATCTCTGTTTCTGCATACTTCTTTACTGAAGAAATGGAAATTCCAGGGCTTACAAATGAGGATGAAATAGCATGCAGTTGACTGGGAACTAAATTGATAATGACTTCTAAAAGTTTCAAACCTTTCTGTATTCAGAGAGACTGTGTGAATAGTGGGATGCCTCCCAATGACCCAAGTTCCAAGCTGTGCTCCACCATTCCCTGTCTTTAGAGGTTCTGGAAATGTAGTTATCTCAAGGTCTCAATTTCTACACGTCCAAAATGAGATTATTATGTTATCATGAGGGTGAAATGAGATAGTGGCTGTAAAATCCCTTTGTAAATTGTAAAGATGTAGACAAATATTAATTACTTCTGGATCTTACAAAATGATCACATAGTACAAGTTTTCATAGACCAAGGAAAAAAAAGTAATTTACAGAAAGATACTTGGGCATTGGTGGATATTTTTGACTGCTTTCTCCAGCAAAGATCTGTAATGGGTTTTCTTTTAGCATCCAGGCTGAGTGCTTTATGAGTTACACTCCACTGGGAAAGGGACAGGAGACATAAGATGACCAAGCAGTCACCTAGCCTCTGTGATATAACAGCAGAGCAAGGCTGGTCCACATTGACATAATGAGGAGCTTCTCTTTAAAGTAAGAAGATAAACAAAAAATAACAAGCACTGGCAAAAATGTGGAGGAATCCAAACCCTTGTGCACTTTTGGTACATATGCAAAATGGTACAGCAACTATGAAAAGCCATATGATGTTTCCTCAAAAATCAAAAATCGAAATACCATATGATGAAGCAATTATACTTCTTGATAAACCAAAAGCATTGAAAGCAGGATCTGAGGACGTAGTTGTCCATCCATATTCACAGCAGCACTGTTCACCACAATGGGAACGTAGAAGCAACCCAAGAGTCAATTGATGGGTGAACGGATAAAGAAAACATGGCATATACATATAATGGGATATTATTTGATATTGATGAAATTCTGACATATCCTGCAATGGATGGCCCTAGAGGATAGTATGCTAAGCGAAATAAGCTAGCCATAAGAAGACCAATACTGTGTGATTCCTCTTACATGAGGTATCTAAAATAGTCAATCTGCCAAGGGCTGGAGTTGTTGTTTAATGGGTATCTAGTTTTGATTATGCAAAAAAGAAAGTTCTTGTGATTAGTTTACATAACACTGAATATGCTGAACTATACAATTAAGAATGGTTATAGTGATAAGTTTATGTTATGTTCATTTTACTACAATTAAAAATGAGAAAATCAATTAAAAATAAAGATAGTAACTAATACAACAATTCTACATTTACCCTCCCTTTAATTTGGGACTATCAGGTCAACAAAAGGGCAAAGAGCCCAGTTCTTTTCAGCAATTCTGCCCATCAGTGCTTGGGTAAACACAGCTTCAGCTACCTGGATGAAACAAAGCACCATTTTCCTGCTTCAGCTTGCATTTTGCTGGCACTTCCCCTTACAAATATTTCTAGGCAAATGCTAGAGGAAGAGTTCAGAAGAAAATAGAGCATTGTGTTTAGCAGAAAAGAGAGCAGATATTATTTAGCCATGTTATTTTAGATATGCCATATTCCACTAACAGCTGGCAAGTTCTTTAAAGCATGGTTCAAAAGCTGTAATTGCTGAATGGAGCTTCGAGAGAATTTACAGAAATGAAAGTGCATTCCTGCAGATTATTAACATAATCATCTCATTTATATTGTACACGAATACCTAGGATGTCTCCCAACTTGACACTTTATGAAACAGGCAGTTAATTAACGCAGGCAAAGCAGCATTTAACCTGAAGTCTTCCCAGCAGGCACCTGGCAAGGTGCAAAAAGCAGGAAAAAGAAAATAAGGATGAAGGAAGAAAAGGGGGACTGTAGCCAAAATCTTGGAAAAGAAAACCAAAAAAAAGGAAGGAAGAGGTTTTTCTAGAGGCCTTGCTATTGCAGACTTACCAATTCTTCATGGTTACTTGCTTTATTTTGGGTGTAGCCATATGGTGTGAGAATGAGCTGGCCATAAGAATGGATAGTCAGGAAACACAAAATGTCCTCCTTCTTGTCCTCTATAAAACTGGAGACAGCTTTAGTCTCTGGTTCAGACAGGGGTCCTGTCCCACAGAATGTTAAATTTTCACAGTTTTTGGATGCACCAATACCTGGAAAATATAGGAGATAAGGCTTCAGATTTGCTTAGAAATGACTGAGGTTGGTGAGTGATCCTTGCTCAGAACATGAGTATATCAGGGCTTGCCCTTGGTGAGACTCACTTGCCCTAAGTAAGTCCTGGCTAAATAAGTCAGGTAGGTGGTTACTGAAGGTAGTTGTTCAATGAAGAACTCAGAAAGGCAGGAGGGCTGGTATTAGTTAGGATTTAGAAGCAAACTCCACAGCTCAGATGGGAGAATTCAAAATGAAATGGCATTTCCATAATCTTTTACTTAAACCTGAGATGAACTTGAAAACAAATGGTTGGGAATCAGTTCTCAGGTTCCTAAGTCAGGCTCTGATAGCCTTTCTGCCCTAAGTCTGTCCTTCAGTTTCTTACTGGCTTCTATCCCATTACAGCTATTTTGCAAGGACATAAGTAGTCTGTCCTCCTCATTAACAATAATAAACCTCATTAGCTGAGCCTCCTTTATATGTTAGGTCTGTGCCCAGACTCTCCTGTGTAGCACTGCATTTATTCCTCATGATGACCTTTCGATATGGTGGTATTACAGTGGCTCACATTTTACATAACAGAAAACTAAAGCAGAAAAGATGAAACAAATTTCCCAAGACCATGCAGCTGCCAAGTCTGAATTTTAACCCTTGCCATCTGGTGAATGGCAATGCTCTTAACCATTCCTGCCTCTTTATTTGCTTCCAGTTCTGTGGACATATTGAGATTTGGAAACATGGAAGTGCCATAAGGAGAAGAAAATGTTTGCTTTGCTTCCTGCCCACCTCCGTGCTGTAAAATAATCCCCAGGGATAATGCTCTGATGTTTCTTTTTAAATGATGATCTATATGTTCTGATATTCTGAAACAAAAAGTGATGGATTTCAAATGTGCTCATACTGGTCTAGGCCTACTTTGTTCTTGTTTAGCTGACCTTCTTTAAAGAGAGTCCTATGGTTGAGTGTTGGTTGCTCTTACTGTATAAATAATATCATCTCTTTGGAAGGAGAATGCCCAAAACACTGTAGAAATTTTTCAAAAATTATATATCAGTAATTCACCCTTTCTTTGCTTCTCAGCTCTTTTTTGTTCGTCAACTCATCTATTGAACATGTACTTACTGCACCAAGAGACGTTGAAATTTCGGTTGAGATCCGATCCAAAACATGTGCCATTGTTGTGGGATGAGCGAGATTTCCTCCAGTAACGATCCTGTAACAGAAGAACCTAAGGATAAAATCACAGCGTCCGTGATGATAAGTGGGCCCTTGAATATGGAAAATGCGTCCCAGGATTTTCTGAAAAAATCTGGCCTTCAGCATTGTAAAGCTTGTGCATGGAATTTCCAGTCTTGTGGCAACTCCCAATGATAGGAACAACCGTACAACCGAAAATGTGCAAGTGTGTAAAGAGATTGGAGGAGGCTATGCCTGCGACATGATCTACTTATTCAAAACAAGCTTCAGAATCATTGTTTTAGGGCCAAGTAATACAGAATAAAAGTGAAATAGCTTGACAGATGGAAAAATGACTGTTCCAGGTGTATCAGAGATGGTCTCTGCACATTTCTGGGAGCAGAGAACTGCTGAGTGGAGATGAGAAAAAAGATAAATTTCACCAGCCAAGTTCAGAGGAAATGACGTGATTCTCATATGGGGCCAGAAAGACTTCCAGAGAAAGAGGCTCCATGAAGGGCCTTTGAGCGAGTAAAGGTAGAAAGAAGAAGTAAGTGCTCTTTAGAAAAAAGAGCTCTTATTTGGGGAATGAGATGCTTTAGAAACATTTTAAAGAGAGAGGTTCTACTACTTACTACACAAGAAGACTTTATGAGACGCGTAACCTGTGCGAATGATCATATTGAAAAATGTAGTCTGGTTTAGTATTTATGCATCATTTATTCCCCTCATGCTTCTAGAACTGATTTAAGTTGGATACAGGTTGGTATATGAATTTTATATTAATATAATCCTAATTGGGTAACAGGCAACTCAAAAACATCAAGAAGATAGTAGAGAAGAAAAAGTAAGTCCGATTGGAAAACTGACAAGTTGTCAGAAACAAAGAAAACACCTGGTGGACTTCAACTCTAAAACACCCTTAGGGCTCCTCAATCCTGAAATTGACTTCTATTGTTTGATTTTTAAATGTTGAACTGATTTTACCCAAAGTGGGGTGTTGATCTTTACATAGGTACAAAATATTTTTATAACTAGAATGGTTAAGGTCACAAAAATGAGCCTTAAAGGAGCTTTAGGTCATGAATGTATCCCAGGACCGAATTCAGTGTACTCACAGTTGTCCAAGTATAGATATAACCATCTATGTTAAAAACTGGAAGTACATAGAAGTCCAGGTTCCTAAGGAACATGCTTATCCTTGAGTTGTCCTTATAGTTTTGTAGAATCTGGCAATGTAAGAGAAAAACATTTGGAATGAGTCTAGGAGGAAGAATTTTCTCTCAATTTTCTATGAATTTAACTTAATAGTAAGGGCCAACTACACATCACACCTCTGCCCTCCAGCCACCAACCCCTCCTTAATTGTCTCATTCTCTATAGTAGTAGTTCTCAGACTTTCTTATGCTTCAGAATCATCTGGAGGGCTGGAGGGGTGGCTCAAGTGGTAGAGCACCTGCTTTGCAAGCATGATGACCTGAGTTCAAACCCCAGTTCCACCAAAACATAAAAACAACAACAACAACAATAAAAAAAAGAATTACCTGGAGGACTCATTCAAACAGATTGTCCAGCTGTGCCTGACCTCCCCACCACCAAGAGTTTCTCATTCACTAGGTTTTTTGTTGTTGTTGTTTTGTTTTCTTTTTTTTTTATTATTCATATGTGCATACAAGGCTTGGGTCATTTCTCCCCCCTGCCCCCACCCTCTCCCTTACCACCCACTCCGCCCCCTCCCTCTCCCCCCACCCCCTCAATACCCAGCAGAAACTATTTTGCCCTTATTTCTAATTTTGTTGTAGAGAGAGTATAAGCCATAATAAGAAGGAACAAGGGTTTTTGCTGGTTGAGATAAGGATAGCTATACAAGCTATCACAATAATTGCCTGTGCATTTGTGTTACCTTCTAGGTTAATTCTTCTTGATCTCACCTTTTCTCTAGTTCCTGGTCCCCTTCTATTGGCTTCAGTTGCTTTTAAGGTATCTGCTTTAGTTTCTCTGTGTTAAGGGCAACAAATGCTAACTAATTTTTTAGGTGTCTTACCTATCCTCACCCCTCCCTTGTGTGCTAAAGCTTTTATCATATGCTCAAAGTCCAATCCCCTTGTTGTGTTTGCCCTTGATCTAATGTCCACATATGAGGGAGAACATATGATTTTTGGTCTTTTGGGCCAGGCTAACCTCACTCAGAATGATGTTCTCCAATTCCTTCCATTTACCAGCATCATTCACTAGGTTTTTAGATGGAGCTAAGAATTTGTATATCTAGCAAGTTCCTAGTTGATGTTGATGCTCTTAGCCTGAGGACCATATTCTGAGAACTACCCTCTTTGTGTTTTTTTTTTCATATTAGGGTTCTATAAAGTCTGACCAAAAAAGTAAATTACTTTCAAAGGTTTCTTACTCCCTAACGAGAGTAGTATAAATAACACACACAAAAAAAATAAGGTATTTTCCATATTCTAAATCTTTTGATCTACCCAGAAAACCCATGAAGTACTCATTCATACCCCCTTTACAGATGAATAACTAGAGTTCCCAGTGCTAGAAAATTTGCCTAATAGTATTAGAAAGAGGCAAATCTTTTTTCTGGCAGCACTGGAGTTTGGAATCAGACCTCACACTCGCTAGGCAGGCACTCTTATTCTTCTACATTTAGATATGTTTATCATCCAATAAAAATTATTTGGGATGCACTAGAAAGAAATAATGGTACTAACTCAGTTTTCGGCAAAGTTAATCACTAATTTCATTTTACTTGAGATGAAAACTAACTCAGCTGAGTTTCGTTCTGGGCTGGGGATATAGCTCAGTGACAGAACATTTGCCGAGCATGTGCAAGGACTTGGGCTTAAACCCTAGTACTGAGGGCAAAAAGAATTTCATTGTTATCATGTGAAAGAAGTATAGATTCTAAGTAGCCAGGAAGTAAAAGACATTATGGGGTATCATTGTGAGGAAGCTAAAGACACTTACCTCTTTCACAAACCACTGGCAAAAAGCAGGGGCAATCCATTCCCTGGCATGAATTCCACAGTCCATCCAAATGATCTTCTTATGGTTATTTGATGGTTGGCTGATCTGGAGGAGACATCCATGCTCATTATTGAAAGCCACTGTGCAAAGTTACCAGGTTTCCCATTCCCCTGGAGGTCTCTTTCTTACTACACTTTGGTTTCAAGAAAGTGGTAAGGATGCTGGTGGAGATGCACAAGTGTGGCCCTTTCTTCTGTAGCTCTTGTTCCCCTGCCAGTCGCTTTAGTGGTTGTTCTTAGGACCATGAACTGAGTCCCAGAACAGCCAATCAAAGAATGAGCTTCCTATACCCTAAGTTATTCCTTGACTACAAATAAGGGTATAAACCCCTGAGCCAGAGCTAAGAGATTAAATCTGTCTAAATCTTATAAAAGCCTTATACAGAGTTCACTCAGAATAGCAAAGTGCACAAGAGGTAATGTTCAAGAATCAAGGGTATTTAAAAATGAATCCCAATCCTCACTTAAACTTGTTGAAATTGTAAGTAGATCAAAATATACAATCTCCTACAATGCTTACTAATTTCCCCTCCCCTTGGAGATCTCTCCACCCTTAGTCAAATAATCTCCAGCAAGAAATATGCCCTTCTTCCTCAAAGAGTAGGGAGAAATTCAACTTGCAATTGTGGATTCTCTCTGGTGGAGAAGAGATTGTAAACAGTCATATCTGTTTTGGATTTGTAAATGGCCTAGACAAGCACTATTTATTGAAAATCACTGGCTGCTGGGCTGATGCAGACTGCTCCCTCCTGCTGAGATACTTACAAACTGAGATAAATACAAGGCTGGATCTATTCAAGGAACTTTCTCCTTTTAGTCTCACTAAATTAGTGCTTTTAATTCACTGCTTACCTTAGCTTTTCTCTTGTAATCACTCCTTTTATGAGTGTATGTATGTTAATTATATGTTTATCTTTATTGCCTCTTTATTACATACTCATTCTATTCTTTATAATCTGGACACACAGGATGTTTAGATGTCATCTTGGCTGATTCAGCTCAGAGTTTGAAGGTCTACCAAAAATCAAATTGGCAGGTGCCCCAAGCTTAAGATAGCACCAATTTCTCAATCTCTGAGTCAATTCTATTTCCAAGCTAATATTTTTTTGTAATTGTAGATAATTCTCAAATTTGGGGTTGTGCCCTGTAAATTAGCACATCTGCACCAAGTAGTATAAGGGTAATGAGCTAAGCAATGCTAGTTCTTAGTATCAGCCTTCTTAGGCAGTCGTTTCTGAAGAATGGTCTTGGACCAGCAATACTAGTGTCACCTAAGAAATTGTTAGAAATGCCTTGTGGCTGTAAAACTTAAGTGTGCATCAGTACCTGGAGGAAGGCTTATTATGTGGCTGAGCCCCATTCCCAGAGTTTATGATTCAGTAGACCAGAGGTTGAACCCAACGATGTATGTTTCCAACATGTTACCAAGTGCTGCTGATGCTCTGGGTTCAAGGACCACCCTTTGGAAACCATTGGTTTGGTAATGGTTGTCAACTCTGGCTACATATTAGGTGCCCCTAGGGAGTTTTTACAGCATGCCTGGACATGTCTGGAACAATTAAGCCACCATCTCTGTAGGAGGAACTGATATAACAGGATTAATATGCAGCCAGGGTAGAAAGTCCTGGCCCTATGGTGGAGAGTCTATCAGGTCTCAAACACTTTTCACCATGTCACATGTAAAAGGGGTGGGAGAACCTGGAGACCTGGTTGTCCCCCTGGCTGTGTAACTACCTTGCTGTGGGACATTGTACATCACCTTACTTTTCCTGGGTCTTTGTTCCCTCAACCATACAAGGAAGGAACCAAAGATGAAGGATGTTTGTAGCTTTTAAACATTTTTTTATAGAAAAATTTCCCCTTACAAAAAAAAAAGAACATTTAGAAAACACAAAATACATATGAAAAGTGAGCTGGCTGAAGCATGAGTTGAGAGGTGGTCCACTTCTAGGTCTTACTATTTTCAGGTCCTGTCTCCAGGCCCCCACCCACATAAATAAGGCATGTGAACCTGCAAGATTTGAGTTTTAAAAGTCCAGATTGAAATGGAAATGCCAAAGACTTTGCACTGGTTCTTTTAACTTTCTCCACATTTCTGAGAGACCCTCTGCATAGTAAACAATTTCCTCAGAGCAAGGTGATTGTCCCACAAAAGTTGTTGTTAACTTTTGTACTCACCTTCAGGTAGTACATGGGCCGGGTCTCATATGTCATTCCTAGAAAATGCTGGGTCGCCACTTCTGAGTATCTCTCACTGATCAGGCTCATCCAGTGATAGATCTGAAACAGCCCAGGAAGACCACAGCTATCAATAGGAAGATCGATTAATTGCCTCTGATGAAGATAACTGTTTCTTCCACTAAGACATTGAACTCTGTACTCTGCTCTACACTGCAATAGCTATGTGGTAAATAAAACAGAAAACTAAACCAATGGACTATTACCTACCACCTGTCTTTTTCTTTAAAGATCTACTCTGCCAGCAAGTCTTAGGACACCCTGTTGAACTGTTTCAACTATATATATGAATATATATGTATATATACATACATGAAGCTTTGAACTTTATTGAAATTATTTATTTTTTCTTACTTCTCTTTATACTGTTAGCTAGCATATTTTTCCTGTAGATGTTTCTAATTTTACTATTATTTAGTCAACTTATTTTTGTCTTTAAATATGCATAGATTTTATTTCATTTGTTAAAAGTTGAAAGTTAGCCTCCTATTTTATCTCAAGTTAATTCTTTCCTCATATCCCTGTCTTACACAAGTTTCATATCCATGCATTTTCTTTTTTTTCCCCCTTTTTTAAAATTATTGCTGTACTGAGGGTACATTGTGACATTTACAAAAATTCTTACAGTATGTTGTAGCTGAATTCACTCCCCCCAGAATAGTTTTTCCCATTGAACTTTACAAATAAGTAATTGAGAATTAGTAATTTTGATAAGCTACCAATAACACTTCAGAGACAATGAATAACAACAGGTTCTTCATATGACTATGTGGGATACACAGTCATGCCAGTAATTTCAGGTCAAGCTTTATTTTGTGGGATCTTCCATCTTAATGGATCCCAACAGCTATGATTGGGTGCTGGTTTTGCCCCAAAGTTTCATGTGCTGGAGACGTGATTCCCAGTGTGGTGATGTGGGAACTGACAGAATTTTCAAGAAGTGAGGCCTACTAGGAGATCCTTAGGTCATTTGCAGCCCTACCCTTAGGAGGAAATACTGTTCTCCTGGAGAGTGAACTCTCTTGAGAGCAAGTTGTGATAAAACTATGAACATGACTTCCCACTCTCTCGCTGGCTTCCTGTTTGGTGGTGTGATTGCTTCCCCTCACACTGCTGCCTTTGCCATCTACCATGAGTCGATGTAGGCAAGATGGATGGCCCTCACTAGACACTGCACTGTGCTGTTTGATCTTTCTTCTCCTTAAACTATGAGCTAAATAAACCTCTTTTCTTCCTAAAGTTAGCCTGTTACAAGTATTTCATTATAGTAATGAAAAGCAGACTAGTCCACCAACAATAACCTTTGCTAATGTTCTAAGATTTGAGAAGACCTGGCTATACCCTTTCCAAAACATGGTAACTGAAGTTTCTAAATCAAACTAAAGATAATAATTTTGATTCATCTGAGTAGACTTTAATAGATGGTGATTTAATTACAAACCCGACATCGGGTTTAGAAGAATCTTATACCTTTGCCTAACAATCTATAACTGGGGTTCCAATGAGAAAACGTAAGACATATTAAGACATTCATTAGCATGGCTCAGGCACATCACACACAGAATTTCTATGTAGTTGACAACTCTGAATAGCAACAATCAAGAATTACAACAAATAATAATTAATTGGGATAACCATTATCTTGTTTCAAACATTTTGAATCTCTATTGACATTCATCTTGGCATAAAATATTTTTAGATAAAGTGATTATTTACAGCATTAATAATACTTAAGTCAGGGCAGTTTCAATTCAGTCTATTAACTGAAAAGAATAGCAGCTTATTCCATGGGTACCATGTGTGTACCTGTGATGGGGCCATATCAGGTACAGATGTGTAAGCCTTGAGAGAGCTGCAAAGAGCAGCAAGGAGAAACAGCAGCTGTCATTTACTTACTGCTTAATCAATAATGGTGTCGTTGGTTGTGAGACAGACACTACTACTTCTATTTCACAGATGAGAAAATGAAGGGTCAAAGAGATTTAATGTCTTGGTCAAGGTTCTACAACCAGCAATGACCAAACCAGGTATGAACCCATCTCTAACACATCATAAGGTTTCCATGGACAACACTGGGCCTTGTTCAAAATCATAGTACTTTAGAGATGATTTTTCAGAAGAAAGTATAAATTCTTTCTTATACTCTTTGAAAAAAGTTCTATAAAATACTCAGATATCCCCAAATGCTGAGAGAATGAATTAGTAAAGCCTGTTTTGTAGGCAATTTGTGCCTTTATATAAAAAATTTTGATATATGTATTCTTTCTAATCCAGTCATTCTATTTTTAGTTTATACCTTAAAAAATTTGACCTAAACATTGTGTGCACATATGAATAAAAGAAAAAAAAATTTTTTTTCTGTGTAAGTTTTATAGACACACACACATACACACATACACAGAGAGAAGCTAATTTTCCACTATATCTAGTTTTAGAACCCACCAAACATCTTAGTAGCATTACATATATTTCTTTGTAAAAGGGTTTTTCCCTCTTAAGAACTGTTGCTGTGCCCCTTGCATCTTATAAGTAATAGCTACATTTTCAGCTAAATAAAATGCAATTAGAAGCCTCCACCCATGTCTCACACCCACATAAGTGCCAATCCTGCCCTGCTAAGCCTGTTAAGGACTTGATAAACAGAGATAAGTGTTAATTCCAGTTCACAGGCACACTAGCAAACTTGCTCATTGGATGTTCTTTCCCTCATTTTTCTTTTGTTATTAATTTCTTTTTATTTCCTATCACAGGGTTTTGTAGTTTCAGGGGTGGTGGTGGAGGAGGAGAAGATTTTTTAAAATTCCTTCAACTTAGTGCACAGGTAAATCTCAGCCTCACATTTTGAGTCTCTCCAGTCCATGAATAGTCACAATGAGCCATTCCTTGTGCATCCTAAAGTAGGTTGTGACCACCACCAAACTCCCCACATGGGTCCTTGCTCACCTCCTTCCATGGGGTGATATTCAGTATAGGAATAGGTCTCCAGGCTGCTCCATGGACTCATGACCTCTTGTCTGTGTTGCACTAAGGATCTGAAAAGGGAAGAGACCAGACAAAAAATAGTGAAGAAACCAGGAAAACTGAGAGTTAGAAGGCTGGTGAAAAGGTAGAAAGCAATGCTCACAGGATTTGGAGCGCAGATGCCAGTTTGGAGTCTTGGCTCTGTGTTTTACTAATTGTGAGATCTTGGGTTGCCATGTAGCCTTTTTGATCTGCAATTTCTTTATCTACAGGGTGAGGACAATCATTTCAGCCTTGCAGGGAGGCTTGGATGATTCACTAAGATGTTGTAAACACTTTTAAATTTGTAAAAGAAATAATAGCTAGATTTATTGAAATGACACTTTTTCTAGGACATGCACCATTCTAAGCAATTTAAATCTCATTTACTTTTCTCTAAAACTCTGAGATACTCTTATTATCTCTGTTTCAGAGATGAAGAAACCAAACCATAGGGAAAATGTTACTAGGACCTAACCTCTGGCAGTCTGAAACATCTAGAATGTAAGTCACTGTGATGAATACAATGGAGAGAAATAATCTTTATGCAATCATTTGTCTTTTGTTTACATAAACATAGGCTCACAGCAAAACTAAGTGGAAGTACAGATGATTCCCATGCAGCCCCTATCCTGACACATACGAAACTTACCCTGTGGACATCCCACAACACATACGGTGTATGTTGTACATACATTCTATGGAATTGGACAAATGTTTGATAATATGTATGAACCATTATAATACCATACAGAATAATTTTAGTGCCCTAAAATTCTTCTGTGCTCTGCTAATTCATCCTTCCCTTCCTCATCCCCTGGCAACTACCCATTTTTTTTCTGTCTTCATAGTTTTGCCTTTTCCAGAATGTTGTAAAGTTGGACTCACACAGTGCAGAGCCTTTTCAGATTGGCATCTTTCACTTACCAATATGCCTCAAGTTTCCGCCATGTCTTTTCACAGCTGGATAGCTCATTTCTTTCTCAGTTCTATATAATATTCTTTTACCTACATGCACCACAGTGGAAAGACAGTTTGTTTGCTTCCAGTTTTGGCAATTATGAATAAAACTTTTATAGAGCTCCACGTGCATATTTTTGTGTAGACGTGTTTTTAATTCATTTGAGCAAATTCTTAAAAGTGCAATTGCCAAATCATATGGTAGAAGTATGTTTAGTTTTATAAGAAACTGCCAAACTGTCTTCCAAATGGCTGCAACATTTTTTGTATTCCCACCAGCACTGAATGAGAGTTCTGGTTGCTCCACACCCTGATTAGTACGTGAAGATGTCAGTTTTTGGATTGGGGCCACATTTCTCACTGTCTTCATTTGCAATTACCTAGTGATAGGTGACACAGAACATATTTTCATATTTACTGACAATTTCTGTATCTTATTTACATTATTATAATTAAACATTTATTTTAGCTCCCAGCTTCCCAAGTGGCCAAGGCAAAAGTTGAATGCAATATCATATAATTTTTGGAAGGAAATTCATAATTTTACTTATAGAATCATTTTCATGGTACAAAATTCCCGGACAATGGTTTGCCATTTTACATTATGTAAGAAAAGTAACCAATAGAGTACACATAATGAGAAAAAATAGCTTTGTAAATGCTACCGAAGTATCCTTCAAAGAGTCCTTCCTTATAGCAAAATTTGATAAAAATTCACAACATAAAGTTTAAGTTTGACAAAAAAGTAGCTATGAGGGAAATTAAGATAGCACTCTTGGTCTGTAGCATCCTGACAATCTTACTTCATATAAGAGCAGAGTTTAAAGAGCATAGAAAAACTAAGATACCTATTAACTTCTCTCTTTCAACTGTAACTTGTCAACTGTATTGTGCTTCGGGTAGATACTTTACAGGAGCCACTTCAAAACTGAGCTCTAAAATGCTTCTTTTCTGTAATCAGCCATTCACTGATTACAGTCCCAAGATTCTCATGTAAATGTAAGGTAGGTTTTTGTTGAATGAAGTATAGGTAATCTCTGCATCTTCGTGGAGAAGTATCTGTTCAGATCTTTTGCCCATATTTTAATCAGATTACTCTTTCATTACTTTAGTGAGTTTTAAGAGTTCTTTATATTTTTTGGATCACAGTCTTTTATCATGGACTTTTCATGAACATTTTATCTCAGTTCATAGCTTGCCTTCTCATTTTTTTTGACATTTTCTTTCACAGAGTAGACATTTTTAACTTTAATAAAGTTTGACTTATTAATTCTTCCTTTCATGTATTGTATCTTTTCTGTTGTCTCAAAAAGTCACCATAAAACCCAAAGTCATCTAACTTTTTTCCTAAGCTATCTTCTGGAATATTACAGTTTTGCATTTAATATTTAGATCTATGACACATTTTGAGTTTGTATTTGTGATGCACTTTTTTGTATGTGAATCTAGTTGTTCTAGCACTGTTTGCTGCAAGCAGTCTTTTTCTCTGTTTTATTATGTTTGCTCTTTTGTCAAAGATCAGTTGTCTGTATTCTGTGGGTCTATTTCTGGGCTCCCTATTCTCTTCTATTGATCTGTTCATTTATTTTTTTGCCAATACACAGTGTCTTGATTACTGTAGGTTTATATTAAGCCTTAAAATCAGATACTGTTAGTCCCCTGACTTTATTCTTCTCTTTTAATATTGTGTTGGCTAGTCTATGTTTTTTACTTGTCCACATAAACTTTAGAATCAGTTTATTGATAACCACATGGTAGGATTGTTATTGGGATTACATTGAATCTATAGATAAAATTGGAAACAACTTGACAGTATTGAATCCTCCTATGTAAGGACATAGAATGTACCTCCATTTACTTAGTTCTTCTTTGATATCTTTCATTAGAGTTTTATAGGTTTCCTCATATAGACATTATGAAAATTATTAGATATATACCCAAGTATTTCATGGGGGGGCACTAAAATAAATGGTAACTTTTTTTGTGGTACTGGGGATTGAACTCAGGTTTCACACTTTCTAGGCAGAAACTCTATCACTTGAGCCACTCCACCAGCCCTATTTTGTGTTGGGTATTTTCAAGATGGGGTCTTATGAACATTTGCCTCAGGCCAGCTTCACACCACCATCCTCCTGATCTCTCCATCCTGAGTCACTGGTGCTCAGTGATAACA